TTTCCCATCCACCACATTCCTTTTCACTGGCACATCTGATACAATTGTTTTCAGATCTATAATGATAATTTAATCAAGATTGGGCCCTGGAGCTGACTATTAGTCTGACTGTGTCTTTCACTAATGCAGTAATGTAGCCAAGGAGCCAAGAATCACTTTCCCAGTGACCATGTATGAACTTAGATTATTTATGGGGGAAGAATATTTATTTTAAATTTTTTATTTGTTTTTCTACAGTATGTGACAGTATTTTTAGACCAGAGACTCATTGAAGACCCTGGTGGTGCTGATATTCTAATACATTTACAAAGCAAGGACGTTAAATACTCACTGACATTTCAACCAATCACAAATGGTATAACATGGAAGAGACAACAGTTACAAGATTATAGCCAATCATCTCAGGTAATTTTGTTTTTGTTTTGTTAATTTTTTAACCAATCACCAATAGTGTAACGTGGAAAAGACAACAGTAATAGGAGTATAATATTTGCATTGTAGTAGCCATCCCCCCCAAAATAAAACATGATTTATTTATTTTCTAAAACACAGAATCTACTGTATATCAATATAAAAACAACAACAACATGGCCTTATAACAGTACATGTTTCAGAGGGTTTCTTATTCTGGCCTTCCACATATGACAAAAAACGAAGTCGCTAAGTTAGGCATACTGGTATTATAGTTAAGAAATATAATTTCAAATGTATACTCTTGTACATTTTATAAGTAAACATGGTGGGATATGGTATACATACTGGTACCAACTGAAATATTAAAAGTCTGATTCAACAATGAAATATGTTATCATTAAATATTTCTCATATCTTATTTGTCCTTTTCAGTCTTCCAACAACCCTGATCAAACAGATGAGAATGAAGTCTTAGTTGTCTTACAAGCAGTTGAGTTTGTTGAAATGGTACATGCCTTCAAGGAGGTAAACAGTTCTCACATGTGATCTTCAGATATGAAGTTCAGTTGCTTTGACATATGGATGGAATTCCCTACAGGTTTATTTTAATTCCCCGATCAAACTATTTCAGAACCGTCTTGACCAAATCTGTTCATTCTATGCATGTGCTTAGTATGTAATGGTTTTGCGATTTGATCCAAGATGGCAGACTTTTTGTTTTTTAGCTCCGCTGTCGACTTTGTCGAGCAGAGCTTATCATATGAGTGATTGTCCGTCGTCGTCGTCCGTGTCAATGTTTTACTTTTTCGACTTCTTCTTGAAAACTACAAGCCTGAATGCTTTGATACTTGGTGCATATGTACTTTGGGTAGACCTCTCTTAGGTTTGTTCATTTCATGTTGATATCTTCAATTCTCTAATTTTGGTGAATATTTTTGTCATTTTTGGTAAAAAGTGATATTTTCGACTTCTTGTTAAAAACCGCAAGTCCAATTGCTTTGATACTACATATATAGGTACTACATGGTGACCTCTCTCAGATTTGTTCATTTCGTGATGATATCTTCAATTCTCTAATTTTGGTGAATATTTTTGTAATTTTTGATAAAAAGTGATATTTTCGACTTCTTGTTAAAAACCAATAGTTCAATTGCTTTGATATTACATATATAGATACTACATGTAGACCTTTCTCAGATTTGTTCATTTTGTGATGATATCTTCAATTCTCTAATTTTGGTGAATATTTTTGTCATTTTTGGTAGAAAGTGATATTTTCGACTTCTTGTTAAAAACTGTACATGTCCATGACAATTAGTCTCACAATCAAATCAAAGATGATTTGACTGGCAGCCATTTTTTTCAGCCATACTACTATATCTCGTTAACCTTTGTATCGTTTTCATTAATATTTAGTACATGTGTCATAAATGAATTTGTATTCATTTTTTAGTCAGTTCAAGGATGGTCTAATGCTGGTAATTCTCCTTTTTGGCCATAACTACTATATCTCTGAGAACCATGTACAGTCCTGCATTTTTGTTACATTCATCATAATACATGCATACTGGTATGTTTATTTTTTTGGGAATATCTTCCAAAGGTTGTATTAAATGTTCACACAATGTTTTATTTGTTCTCATTAAATTGTAAATGCCCTAATATTCGGCCATGAAAACATTGTTTAGAAAGACTCATTGGGTAACACCATAACAGTTAAGCTGACACATGCTTACAATACTGCAGGCAAAAATAAATAAATCTGATTTTTGTGGATAGTAAATTAGTCTATTATTCACTCTCAATTACTGACCATACACTACAAATTCATTTAGAAACAATTTACCTGGTCACATGACCAGTGATTTGCATATAGTGGTATTATGCTTGTAATAATACATTTCCA